CACTACAACACCACAACAACACTACAACACCACAACAACACCACAACACCACAACAACACCACAACAACACCACAACAACACAACAACACCACAACAACAACACAACAACACTACAACACCACAACAACAACACAACACCACAACACCACAACACCACAACAACACAACACCACAACAACACAACAACACAACACCACAACAACACAACACCACAACAACACTACAACACCACAACAACACCACAACAACACCACAACAACACCACAACAACACCACAACAACACCACAACACCACAACAACACCACAACAACACCACAACAACACCACAACACAACAACAACACTACAACACCACAACAACACAACACCACAACAACACAACAACACCACAACACCACAACACCACAACAACACAACACCACAACAACACTACAACAACACTACAACACCACAACAACACCACAACACCACAACAACACCACAACAACACCACAACACCACAACAACACAACAACAACACTACAACACCACAACAACACAACACCACAACAACACAACAACACCACAACACCACAACAACACAACACCACAACAACACAACACCACAACAACACTACAACACCACAACAACACCACAACACCACAACAACACCACAACAACACCACAACACCACAACAACACAACAACAACAACACTACAACACCACAACAACACAACAACACAACACCACAACAACACAACAACAACGCTGCAACACCACAACAACACAACACCACAACAACACAACACCACAACAACACTACAACACCACAACAACACCACAACACCACAACAACACTACAACACCACAACAACACCACAACACCACAACAACACCACAACAACACCACAACAACACCACAACACCACAACAACACAACAACAACACTACAACACCACAACAACACAACAACACAACAACACCACAACAACACCACAACAACACAACAACAACACTACAACACCACAACAACACCACAACACCACAACACCACCACAACAACACCACCACAACACAACACCACAACAACACCACAACAACACCACCACAACACAACACCACAACACCACAACACCACAACACCACAACACCACCACAACACAACAACACAACACAACAACACCACAACACCACAACACAACACAACAACAACACCACCACAACACAACAACACAACACAACAACACCACCACAACACAACAACACAACAACACCACAACACCACAACACCACAACAACACCACAACAACACAACAACACCACAACAACACAACAACACCACAACACCACCACAACACCACAACAACACCACCACAACAACACCACAACACCACAACAACACCACAACACCACAACAACACCACAACAACAACACAACAACACAACAACACCACAACACCACAACAACACCACAACAACACAACAACACCACAACACCACCACAACAACACAACAACACCACAACAACACAACACCACAACAACACCACAACAACACCACCACAACAACACCACCACAACAACACAACAACAACACCACAACAACACCACAACAACACAACACCACAACAACACCACAACAACACCACAACAACACCACAACACCACAACAACACAACAACAACACCACAACAACACAAGACTACAACACCACAACAACACCACAACAACACCACAACAACACAACAACACCACAACACCACAACACAACACCACAACAACACAACACCACAACAACACAACAACACCACAAGAACACCACAACGACACCACAACAAAGCCACAACACAACAACAACGACACCACAACAAGACCACAACGACACCACAACAACACCACAACACAACAACACCACAACACCACAACGACGCCACAACAACACAACACCACAACAACAACACCACAACAACACAACAACACCACAACAACAACACCACAACAACAACACAACAACACCACAACACCACCACCACAACACTACCACCACAACAACACCACAACAACACCACAACAACACCACCACAACAACACCACCACAACAACACCACAACAACAACACCACAACAACACCACAACAACACCACAACAACACAACACCACCACAACAACACCACAACAACAACACCACAACAACACCACAACAACACAACAACACCACCACATCACCATCACACACACATCACACACACATCACACACACACCACCATCACACACACATCACACACATCACATCACACACACATCACACACACATCACACACACACATCACACACACATCACCATCACACACACATCACACACATCACACACACACCACCATCACACACACATCACACACATCACATCACCATCACACACACATCACACACACACACATCACACATCACATTAACATCACACAGACACATCACACACACACATCACTATCACACACACATCACACACACACACATCACCATCACACACACATCACACACACACACATCACACACACATCACACACATCACACACACACATCACCATCACACACACACATCACACACATCACACACACATCACCATCACACACACACACATCACACACACATCACCATCACACATCACACACACACATCACATCACCATCACACACACACATCACACACATCACCATCACACACACACATCACACACATCACCATCACACACACACCACACACATCACATCACCATCACACACACATCACATCACCATCACACACATACACATCACACACATCACACATCACACACATCACACACATCACACACATCACCATCACACACATCACACACATCACACACACATCACACACATCACACACACATATCACACACACACATCACACACATCACACACACATCACACACATCACACACACACATCACACACACACATCACACACATCACACACACACATCACACACATCATCCACATTGCTCTTGGTGCAGCAGCAGAGAGAGAGAGACAATGACGGGAAGTGGCCCTCACACCACGTGGTACGGGGAACATCAAAACCGCGGATCTTTGATGTTCATTCAGCCGTCCTTGATCATCGGAAGAGCCAAACGTTGTAAACCCACAGCGAGCAATTCCACAGAAATGTGGTCTCCATCGAGATGATTTTAAAGTGCATTGCTCCAGTGGCTTGGAAGTTTGGCCAATTTCCGACCATGGCTGCTGCCGCTGCTGATGACAAAACCAACGATCGAACAGCTGCACGTGGACTGGCAGGATGGAGGTGGCGAGGGGGGGTCAAGTGCCAGCCACGTGGCTTCGCTTCCCGCACCAGAGAGTCGAGCCGCTGTCTCCTCCCGGGCCCCGCTCCGTGTGCGTTCGGGGCTGGCTCGAGTGGCTGGCTCGCCACCACCTGGGCTGGCTCGCCACCACCTGGGCTGGCTCGCCACCACCTGGGCTGGCTCGAGTGGCTGGCTCGCCACCACCTGGGCTGGCTCGCCACCACCAGGGCTGGCTCGAGTGGCTGGCTCGCCACCACCTGGGCTGGCTCGCCACCACCTGGGCTGGCTCGAGTGGCTGGCTCGCCACCACCTGGGCTGGCTCGCCACCACCTGGGCTGGCTCGCCATTCGGCCTGGCTCGCCACTCACAGCCAAAGGGAATCTCAACATCGGTGCAAACTAAAAATCAAATAAACCTCGCGTCCTTGATTTCTCACCGCCCCATCGCCTGCCTCGCAGAGCATCGAGACTCCTCTTCGAGAGGACTTCGCTGCGTAAATAACAAGGGACGCGGTACACGGGCACTGTCAGCCTCCACTGGGAACAACTTCCACTCTACATGGAGCAGCACTGCCCATAGACTCAGCACTGTCCATAGACTCAACACTGCCCATAGACTCAGCACTGCCCATAGACTCAGCACTGCCCATAGACTCAGCACTGCCCATAGACTCAACACTGCCCAAAGACTCAGCACTGTCCATAGACTCAGCACTGCCCATAGACTCAGCACTGCACCATAGACTCAACACTGCCCATAGACTCAGCACTGCCCATAGACTCAGCACTGTCCATAGACTCAGCACTGCCCATAGACTCAGCACTGCACCATAGACTCAACACTGCCCATACACTCAACACTGCCCATAGACTCAACACTGCCCAAAGACTCAACACTGGTCCATAGACTCAACACTACCCATAGACTCAACACTGCACCATAGACTCAACACTGCCCATAGACTCAACACTACCCATAGACTCAACACTGCCCATAGACTCAACACTGCCCATAGACTCAACACTGCCCATAGACTCAACACTGCCCATAGACTCAACACTGCCCATAGACTCAACACTGCCCATAGACTCAACACCTCCCATAGACTCAACACTGCCCATAGACTCAACACTGCCCATAGACTCAACACTGCCCATAGACTCAACACTGCTGGTGTCCTCCTGTGGGAGTGACACCACCACATCGGTGGTGACCTCCTGTGAACGACGTCACGGCGTGACTTATGTTGTTGTGTTTTTATGGTTAATACTGCCACACACGCCGCAGTATTACCCAGGGCGGCCTCTGGGTTTCAAACCGTTGAACCTTGGGTCATGGTAATGTGCAGTGTTGGTGATGTGTGTGTGGGTGATGGTGAAATGTGATGTTGGTAATGTTGGTGGTGACGTGTGTGTGATGGTGAAGTGTGATCTTTGTGATGTGTGTGTGGGTGATGGTGATGATTTTGGTGACATTGATGTTGGTGATGGTAGTGACGTGTGTGTGTGTGTGTGATGGTGACGTTTGATGTTGTTGATAGTGATGGTGTTGGTAACAGTGATGTTGGTGATGGTGGTGATGGTGTTGATGGTATTGACGTGTGTGTGAAGGTTCACGCGTGATGTTGGTAATGGTGATGATGTTGGTGATGGTAATAATGTTGGTGATGATGATGATGATGTTGGTGATGGTCGCAGATTGCTGCTGCTGCTGCTGCTGCAGACGAGCAGCGGAAGGGAATTCGTTCGAAGCGACGGGGAACACTTCGATGAGCGGCTGGCCTCGCAATGTCAGGTAAAGGAGCGAGCTCACTCGTCACAATCCATGCACCGATGAACCCATTCACTCATTCACTCACCCCACTCACCGTCCGCTCACCAACCGTTGGGTGTTCTCCGCCCTGTCCACGGTCCGGGGCGGGAGATTTTTTTGTTTAATGATATTGGTCGCGAAAGCCTTCGAGTTAAAAAATAAAAAGTCATCGTTCGCAAAGCGACTCCACTGGCAAGGCGACCGACGGTGGTCGCCTGGCTGGTGCTCGCCCGCAAGTACTGGGGTCGAGAGCACGAGCCCACCGTCTTCCCCTGCACGGTGTCCACGCCGTAGCCTGTGCACCCCCCCCCCCACCGCCCTCCCTCCCACCTCTTCCACCACCACGTGCACCGGCACCTGCGCCCGCGCCGACTCGAACAGCGTGTGTCCGCAGGCAACTTGACCGTGACTCTGCTCAACACCACGATGCTCCTCGTCCAAGTCAGCTACATCAGTGATTTCACGTGCTACCACAAAGAGGTGAGAGTCCCTCCTCGTGGGGGCAGACTCGTCATGCACGCACGCACACAAAGACAAAGATGTCCCGTGTAGCCTTGACAGACTGTAGGGGTAAGTGCTGTTAGCGAGCAGCACGTACGAAGGCCGGCACAGCACACGGGGGGGGGGGGGGGGGGTGGGTGACCAGCACCACGCCCGGCGGCCGCCTTTGTCTCTCTCGTGGCGAAGTCTTTTTTCACATCGCACCAGGTACTCATTTGAGGCGAAGCCGACCTAGGGACAGGGCCCAGGGTCGGTTCAGATAATTGGTCACTGCGTGTTGGTGGCGCATTAGCGGGAATCGAACTCGGGACGCCGGGTTCGCAGTGCCAGCGTGGCTAGCCGCTACGCCACTGCTACCGCACGTACGACCCCTCCTGCAAAGGCAATCAATAAAAACTTGAAATACGGAGACTCCTCTACTTACTGAACATTCAACTCACGAACTTTCAGAGACACGAACAGACTTCTCTGTACGTCCAGTTTGCCTGTTCGGACCGAGTTCGTAAGTTCAACCGCTGCGCAATAGATGGCGGTGGTGGCATCTACATCTGCAGAACGTGAAGAACCAGTGGCATCTACATCTACAGAACGTGAAGAACCAGTGGCATCTACATCTACAGAACGTGAAGAACCAGTGGCATCTACATCTACAGAACGTGAAGAACCAGTGGCATCTACATCTACAGAACATGAAGAACCATTGGCATCTACATCTACAGAACGTGACAAACCAGTGGCATCTACATCTGCAGAACGTGAAGAGCCAGTGGCATCTACATCTGCAGAACGTGAAGAGCCAGTGGCATCTACATCTGCAGAACGTAAAGAACCAGTGGCATCTACATCTGCAGAACGTAAAGAACCAGTGGCATCTACATCTGCAAAACGTGAAGAGCCAGTGGCATCTACGTCTACAGGAGATTATACAACGTTTAACGCCATTCCCCGTGTTTTTTGTACAGGCCATAGAACGCGTTTGCAATCGACAGGAGTAAAGAACGAACCGACGTACGAGCAGACCTCTGGACGCCAACTCGTCCGTAGGTAGCGACGTCCCTGTAGAGTCAGGAGACTCGGCGACGGCGGGCAAAGCGAGCGCCAGTTACACCGACGGGGAGCGGCGACGCCTCCGCCGAATCGAGCGTCGTTTGTCGTTCCAGCCGGGCGTCGCCTCCAACGGCTACTGCAGGTTCATCTGCTCCAACATGACGAGGGACGCGCTGGCGACGGGCTTTCGGGACGGCTTCGTGCTCGACGTCTCCCGCGGCGTCAATCTCTCGGAGGTCTTCTGCATGGTGAGAACCGGGCCGCCGTCGGCAAAGCCCGCGGCGCTAAGCGGCGATAAGTGGCAGCTAAGCGGCAGATAAGCGGCGATAAGCGGTGCTAAGCACCAGCTAAGCGGCAGCTAAGCGGCGCTAAGCGACAGCTAAGCGGCGCTAAGCGGCGCTAAGCGACAGCTAAGCGGCAGCTAAGCGGCGATAAGCGGCGCTAAGCGACAGCTAAGCGGCGCTAAGCGGCGGCTAAGCGGCGCTAAGCGGTAGCTAAGCGACAGCTAAGCGGCAGCGAAGAGACAGCTAAGCGGCGCTAAGCAGCAGCTAAGCGGCAGCGGGCCGGGGCGGCCTTTCACGGCCGCTCTTTCCTAATGGAGAGGGGTGAATGATTTTTGTTGTTGCTGCTGCTCTTGTTTTGATGGGCTCGATCGCGCACAACGCGGAACGCGCCGTCAAAAAACCACGTCACCGACCCGACGTAGCGGGGTCTGTTTTGTTTGTTGTTCCTGTTGTTGCGTAAACAAAACGTGCCAATTAGTGACTCATTCAGCACTCACCCGTTACATCCACACGACCTAACCCCAGACAAACCAATTTAAACAACAATTAACGGGGGGGGGCCCTTTTGGCATCACATTCTGCTCTCCTGTACCACGTGGTTTTCATAACGTGAAATTGGATACAGGAGGCGAGGAATGCGTTACGGAACACATGTCTTATAAAGCGGATGCGACTGAGGTATAACACAGTCGAGTGAACGGAGCTACGTCACGCGAGGTAGGAACGAGTGGCCGTACGGCCGCCGCGGCTTAGCGTCATCGCATACGTTGGGATGCTGCTGGATGCTTCGAGGCGCTACCCACGAGCCTCGGTCTTTGCCCGGCCTGCGTCCGCGTCTCGCGTGTCATCGCGGAGTGTGCCTTAACCACTATACTATATGTTACTTATTGTAACGCGATTTTTCCGTCAAGCGGTGCATCTTCAGGAACGCTACCGCGTTCTAGGAGAACAGCGTGCACATTGGGACGCATTCGGTCGCAACATCGCATTGTCACGCATGGGGACAGCTGCCACCAATGCGGGTGGGGGGGGGGGGGGGGGTCTCCTTGGTTAGAAACACCGCAGGGGATCGGAGCGGTTGAGAAGAGAAGCGATCCCGGCAAGGCCGTGTACGTTGGGGGTAACGTGCGGCCACCGGGCCGGGGAGTAAGTACAACAACAGCGACGACGAAAGGTAACACAACAACAACAAGTTAATTCGTAAAATGAATCGTGGCGCTCCCAAGGCATTTGTGGGGGCGCGGGGGGGGGCTTATGATGATCGCGAACTCCCGCGGACAGGGACGCAACAGAAGCCACGCATGACCATGATTTTGTTCTCACTCGGTTCATCGCTTTCTTTCAGATCGATGGCGGCCAAGTGACACATTTCAGTGAGTAGAGATTTTGTCTTCTAACCGCTTGCTTCCGATTCACGAGGCTCACAGTCGTCGTGGTCGTCGTTAATCCGCTGCTCGATGCAGGCCGCCCAAAGGCATCAACGCTCCTGGCCGTGACGCATCCTGGCCTCACCCGCTGACTTCTCTTACACCGTGCACCCCCGGTCTCTAGTACCCTGGTCTCTAGTCCCCATGGTCTCTAGTCCCCATGGTCTCTAGTCACCATGGTCTCTAGTCTCCCAGTCTCTAGTCCCCGTGGTCTCTAGTCCCGTGGTCTCTAGTCCCGTGGTCTCTAGTCACCATGGTCTCTAGTCACCATGGTCTCTAGTCTCCCAGTCTCTAGTCCCCGTGGTCTCTAGTCCCGTGGTCTCTAGTCCCATGGTCTCTAGTCCCCGTGGTCTCTAGTCCCGTGGTCTCTAGTCACCTGGTCTCTAGTCCCCGTGGTCTCTAGTCCCCATGGTCTCTAGTCCCCGTGGTCTCTAGTCCCGTGGTCTCTAGTCCCGTGGTCTCTAGTCCCGTGGTCTCTAGTCCCGTGGTCTCTAGTCCCCGTGCTACAAACCCGGTGGCCCGAGTTCGATTCCCGCTCACGGCCACTAACACCGGCGGCGTGGCGCTGGCCACCCACCCCCCCGTGTGCCGTGCCGGCCTTCACAGGGTGCTGCTACTCGCTAACAGCACTTGCCCCTACAGTCTGTTACAGGCTACACGGGGGATCTTTGTCTTCGTGGTCCTTCTTCATGGCACCTAAAGAGGCCACTAGAGAGACAGAGTTTGATGATGAGAGTTGGAGACCTCACGTTCTTACACCGCGGGGCCTGATGGCAATTGTGTTTTTAAATTATTCCTGATAAGCCATTTTTTTTTAAATCGGGCATAGGACAGCAGCTGTTGAGTGATAGACGTGACGTCACCAAGTGTCGCTGGCACCACTGCATTGTGGGTCACGCACGACCGCTTGAGGTGGGCAGCTCGCTCCTGAAAGAAAGTCTACATAGCTCAGAGGCCTTCACCCGGTAAAGGTTACACCAATAAGTTTAGTTTTACTTGCATGTTTTTTTTTAAAGTTCTTTATTTACCTTTCCTATACTTTGCACTCCTACCACGTTGTTTGTGTCGTGTTTGTTGTTGTGGCGTTCTGACACCCGTGCCCCGACTGGACATCTGTGAACAAAAGAGCTTTGTAGCTCCTTCTTTGGTTCTTTGGGTAAAGTCACGTAGAATGAGAATGAAATAATAAAATGAAACGATAAAATTCTCACGACGTTTCGGCCACAACACCATTAGAACCTGTCGGGACGACAGAGCTACATTGTAGCTCTGTCGTCCCGACAGTTCTGTTCCTTTCACCTGAAGAAGGCCACTTGTGTTGTGGCCGAAACGTCGTGATAATTTTATTGCTTTATTTTATTATTTTCTTCTCATTCTACGTGCTGGTGACTTTACCGAAAGAACCAAAGAAGATGAATCCTTGCAGTCACGAAAGCTTTAAATCGAAGCTTTATAGCTCATCGGCTTCCTCAACCAGTGTAAATGCCGTTGGCGATTCTGAGCTCATGGGCGGTGGCCACGCGTTTCCGCGTCACTTGCTCCGGTGCGACGTCACAACAACAACGACCGCCGTTCGCTGCTACGTGGCGGCAGACGTCACCGCGGCGCTTGTGCCAGGCTAGGTGCCTGACGGCGCGCGCAGACCCGTGCCCGCGTCCCCTAACGGCGCGCTCTGTTCTCCACGCAGACTCCGTCACCGTGGCCACGCCGCCGACGGACATGCAAGGTGCCAGACGCGCTCGGCACGTTCGCCCAAACCAAACGGAGCCACGACGGGGGGCCTATCGCCACGTGGGGATTCGCAGGAGCAGGCAAAGAGAACCAGTGGTTCTTCATCTGGGGTGCACGAGATGCCCTTTCTGAGAACCAAAAGCGGTGCAGGCAGCAGTGATGGTGAAGAACCACAGTGGTGGTGAAGAACCACTCCTCTAATGCGCGATGTTGATTCTAAATGTGGAGGGGAAACCCCGAGGACTCGGAGAAGCATTCACACGACAGCAGAGAGAGAGAGAGAGACACAGACTCCAAATATATACAGCAGGAATCAGGGTCGGGATGGAACCCACGACCTCCTGTATACCAGGCGAGGTAGTCAACATCTCCTAGCCACCGTGGTGTCAGGGTCAGGATGGAACCCACGACCTCCTGTGCACCAGGCGAGGTAGTTAACATCTAGCCACCGTGGTGTCAGGGTCAGGATGGAACCCACGACCTCCTGTGTACCAGGCGAGGTAGTTAACATCTAGCCACCGTGGTGTCAGGGTCAGGATGGAACCCACGACCTCCTGTGTACCAGGCGAGGTAGTCAACATCTCCTAGCTATCGTTGTGTCAGGGTCAGGATGGAACCCACGACCTCCTGTGTACCAGGCGAGGTAGTTAACATCTAGCCACCGTGGTGTCAGGGTCAGGATGGAACCCACGACCTCCTGTGTACCAGGCGAGGTAGTCAACATCTCCTAGCTATCGTTGTGTCAGGGTCAGGATGGAACCCACGACCTCCTGTGTACCAGGCGAGGTAGTTAACATCTAGCCACCGTGGTGTCAGGGTCAGGATGGAACCCACGACCTCCTGTGTACCAGGCGAGGTAGTCAACATCTCCTAGCTATCGTTGTGTCAGGGTCAGGATGGAACCCACGACCACCTGTGTACCAGGCGAGGTAGTTAACATCTAGCCACCGTGGTGTCAGGGTCAGGATGGAACCCACGACCTCCTGTGTACCAGGCGAGGTAGTCAACATCTCCTAGCTATCGTTGTGTCAGGGTCAGGATGGAACCCACGACCTCCTGCGTTCCAGGCGAGGTAGTTAACATCTCCTCGTCACTGCGACGCCAAAAAAACGAATCAAAGCTCCGCCCAGTAGCTGCTACTGCGTTGGCAGTGGCGCACGGAAATTATGATAGATGACGTTGCAGGTAATGGCCCTGCTTCACGCATACATAGAGAAGCTGTAGAGGTGGAGCGCATTGGGCTTGATGAGAATGTGTTTTGTTAAAAAGCATAGGAATAGTGACACTAATAGTGGCTATTGAGTAGCAAACCCTTCGATAATCGACAAAGATGACTAAAACAATGGAAAATAACAACCTTGTTTGAAGCGAAATAAATATTGCCAACTGCTGCTGGCACATTGCGTTGAGGGCTACCCATAATGCAAGTCGCCAAAAAAAGCAACACTCTAGAATGTTTGAGTTTGCGACCTGATGCTGACTACTCGGGCGATGTCCGCTCACCGCTCACTGCGCTCCCCCCCCCCCACCCCACAGAGCACAGCACCCTGGTCACCTCGCCGCCGCAAACCAGGAGTATGACGTCCACCGCACGCCGGGTCGACGCGGCGCAAGCTCCCTCACATCCCGCGTAGCGGGGGAAATAAAATAAACACCCGCCCCGATCATTTCCATCGCCACGGCGATCACCACAGCTCAGTGGGCGTCGATGATGATGCACGTGATGTCACGGCGACCAGCTCAGTGGGCGTCGATGATGATGCGCGTGACGTCACGGCGACCAGCTCAGTGGGCGTCGATGATGATGCACGTGACATCACGGCGACCAGCTCAGTGGGTGTCGATGATGATGCGCGTGACGTCACGGCGACCAGCTCAGTGGGCGTCGATGATGATGCACGTGACATCACGGCGACCAGCTCAGTGGGTGTCGATGATGATGCGCGTGACGTCACAGCGACCAGCTCAGTGGGCGTCGATGATGATGCGCGTGACGTCACGGCGACCAGCTCAGTGGGCGTCGATGATGATGCGCGTGACGTCATCGTCACATGTCCATCGCTCATTCGATCCCATCTTCCGGCGTGGCAGCTGAAAACGACGTTTCAAAAACACCGCCCGCTACGCCACCGCTCCTCACGCGACACTTACGGACGCACTCTCATGCTTGTGCAAATTTTTGTACTATTTTTTGTTAGTGAACTATGTTTTATTTTACCAGGTAAGGCCCACTGAGCTATATAGCTCTCTCTTTAGCTCAACGGAGTGGCTCATATCATGTGGGCATTAAATAGCAGCCAAATACTCTGAATGCACATTGAATCTAGACGTGAAGGGGAAAAACCACCCGGAAAGAAAGTCCACGTGATCACAGGGAGAACACGCACACGCCAAA